AAAAAAAAAAAAAAAATACCAACCAATCTTACCACTAAAAGTACATTTTATAGGGTAAGGTTTCCTATCTCCAAACTAAAAGTGTGCCACATGTTGTATTTAATTCAAATATGCAGGCAATAACTTAAGCAGAAGAATCAATATGACTTTTATTTTACAGTGGAACAAACTAAACCAATACAAATTTTTACTTGCTGAGGACATCATGAATAATCATTGTTAAACCTGCTAGGAAAGGCTGTGTGGCATTATTACATAGAGTCACGATGTATGTAATCATATTTTTAAGGAATTGGCCCATAGTATACCCAGCTACAAAAGAAAAGCAAGCATATACTATCCTACAAATACTTCTAAAAACTAATCTAATTCTGAAAACTTCAATGTTACTCTTTGCCCCCCCCCACATACACCTTATTTTTTTTTTCTTTAAGGTACCTGAAATGCTGCACAATGATGCTAGTGACCATGGATGCAGCCGCTGGGGATATTTCTTTTTACAGAATGCTGGAATACTTTTAGGTTTTGGAATTATGTTACTTATTTCTGTATTTGAACATAAGATTGTGTTTCGTATAAACTTCTAGTTAGGATATAAATGCTAGAGTAGATTGTAAAATTGCTGTCATAGTTCGAATAGGTCACAGGGAGTTGAGTTTGTATGCTGTGATATGCAGCGTTTAAAGTTAGTGAATTTTGTGATTTTTGTATTAATATTGCCATCTGTTATAAGGTCAATTATGGTGGTAATATAAAGGTACTTTTTAATGTTTAAGTTATTGTATTTTGGAAGTGTAAACTATATGTGCAGTTTATCACTATTACCAGTCTATCACATAAACAAGGGATTTGGCATGACATGTGCTGTATATGTCAAGAAAAATGTCCTTAATACTTTTCCTAGAATTAATTTAACTCAGTAGATCTTATGCTGGACCTTAAGCAGCTGAAGAACTGCTGGTGTTTAGAAGTAAGAACATGAGAATATCCATGAAGCCTAAGATATCAATAAAGCTAAGGAATAAGGGGGAAAGAGAAGAATCTGAGAATTGAGACATAGATTTCCTATAAAATCACAAAGTTCGTTATAAGTTAGAGGAGGAAAACTTAGATGTAAATTTCAAAAGGCAGAATTAGTATAGAGTACATTCATAGACATTTTTCATCTGAGTTTAATGTTCCTGTAAAAAGCACTTTTCATGTACTAATTTAGTTGTACATTTAACTTTGTATAATACATAAGTCTAAATATATTTAATGAATTCAGGCAACCTATCACTTGACCAAGAAATTGGATTTTAAATATTTGTGCAGAGATATACCAGATGAATGTAGTGAGTAATGTTACGTAACACTAGAAGAAGTGGTTATTGCCAAGTTATGTATCACCAGAACTTATTTGATTGGCCGTTCTGGTTATCTGGTTTGCCAGGTGTCAGAGTAGTAAATATTTGTTATATATGAAGACATTAAAACCACATGAGTGTAATTTTGACTTCTTAGATTCAGAAAGTACTTCGGTGTCTGTCAGTCAGTGCTCCAATTTGTCATTGTGAGCAGTTGTCATTTTATGTACAGTATGGTAGACAGGGCTGTCTGTGGCATTCTCTAGATGTTTCTTTTTTACAAAATAAATTCCTCATGTCAGCTCAATGTAAGATGTCTGGTTTCTTGGTTTTATTTTTAAATCAGCGGAACCATTTTTAAGTGTAGAGTTCAGTAGTTTTAAGTATATTCACATTGTTGTGTAATGATCTCTAAAACTTTTCCATCTTGCAAAACAGAAACTCTGTACCCATTAACCACTTAATGTCCCTGAGCTCCTAGAAACCACCCTTCTACTTTCTGTTTTTATAAAATTGAGATGTTCGATTTTTAAAATTATCCAGATTATAATATACCAATCAGTTTAGTTACGTTATTGTATTGAGTGGTCTTACTCAATTTTAAAATTATCACAACAGGCACTTCAAAGAATATTGGTCAACAGTTTGTTCTCAGCTGTCTCTAACTTGTTTTTAAACAACTAGGGACTACAACTGGAGAAGCAGCACTGATATGACATATTTACTTTTTCTCTGTGTTTGTTGCCTCTGAGCCCTCAGCAGAATAGATGGGCATATCCTCCATATCTAGTCCACTCAGACTCACGTGATGATCTCCTATGGAAGCACCATCATGGGCACACCCTAAAATAATGTTTTACCAGGTACTCCTTAATCCAGTCAAGTTGACATCTATCGTTAACCATCACACATTGTAAATACATACCACATTTTTTTGACCCATTGGTCCTTTTCTGGATAAGGTACCTTCCTCCTTTTGGCTATTATGAATACTGCTGCTATGAACATGGGTATACAAATATTGGTTTGAATCCCTGCATTCAAATCCTTTGGGTATATACCAGAAGTGGAACTCTTAGATCATGTGTAATCCTGTGTTTACCATTTGAGGAGCCATCATATAGTTTTCCACAGTGGCTGCACCATTTCATATTTCTATCAGCTATGTTTATTTTATTTATTTATTGGCCAGGGCTGGGTTTGAACCCGCCACCTCCAGCATATAGGGCCCACACTCCGGCATATGTGGCTGGCGCCCTATCCTTTTGAGCCACAGGTGCCGCCCTATTTATTTATTTTTTGAGACAAGAATCTCACTATGTCACCCTTGGTATCGGGTGCTATCGTCACAGTTCACAGCAACCTCAAACTCTTGGGCTTAAGCGATACTCTCTTGCCTCAGCCTCCCAAGTAGCTGGGATTACAGGTGCCTGCCACAATGCCCAGCAGTTTTTTTTGTTGCAGTTGTCATTGTTGTTTTAGCTGGGCCCAGGCTGGGTTCAGACTCGCCAGCCCCGATATATGTGGCTGGCACCCTAGCCACTGAGCTACAGGTGCTAATACAATGTTTATACATCCTAATGGATATGAAGTGTCTTGCTGTGGTTTTGACTTTTATCACCTGAGGTATGTTAAGCATCTTTTCATGCATTTCTTGGCCATTTGTATATCTCTGGCGAAGTGTCCATTTAAGTCCTTTGTTCATTGTAAGATTGGGCTCTTTTTTTATTAAATTGTAGGAGCTCTGTATATTCTGGATATTAATCCCTATCAGATCTGTAATTGGCAAATATTTTCTCCCATTTTGTGGGTTACCTTTTTACTCTGTTGATAGTTAATAACCATTGATGGACAAACTTTTTTTTTTTGTTTTGAAACAGAGCCTTAAGCTGTCGCCCTGGGTAGAGTGCCATGGCTTCACAGCTCACAGCAACCTCCAACTCCTGGGCTTAACCGATTCTCTTGCCTCAGCCTCCCAAATAGATGGGAC